TCTAAGTGGTGTTGGGCGAGGTCCGGTGAATAGGGAGGGTGGAGAGGCAGCGTCATGGCAGTTTATGTTTCTCAAAAATTGTTGCACTTACAGGGCAGTGTATGCTGGGGAACTTTAGCGATGCTACCACCACTTTCTCCTTTACCACAAAACTAGGCATTACTGTTTTACTGGGTTGCGCGAGCCTCGCCAAACTCCTAAGTTAAACGCCCGATTAACAGTTTCAATAGGAGGAACAGACTCGGATTGAACACTACCCGAATTTTCTCCATGTTTTCATGAGTTCGGGACGCTGAGGGTCGCCCTGACTGAGGCTGGTCGTCGATTAATAATTGACCGGTCTTGAAACGAAAAACCCGCTTGTAGACCTGCGATTTCTTCATAGCGTTTTATTTGTAAGCTGTCTGAAGCATTAGGAGAGATTCCGCTGCTGTTTTGCATAAAAGAAAACAATATTTCGCGGTCGCACGCTGTTCCTTTAGATCAGACATTGCAAAATACGAAGAATGGTTCTGAAGCACTGCAGTCTAAAAAAAGCCCGTTCGTCTGCTTTCCCGCACAACACTCGGAGAGCCAATCAGCGCAACTTACGGAGGCAGCTCAGCGAATGACGATGCCGAAACATATGTTTAGACTAAAACACGCGGTCTGAGTTTATCGGCATCGTCATTCGCTGAGCTGCCTCCGTAAGTTGCGCTGATTGGCTCTCCGAGTGTTGTGCGGGAAAGCAGACGCAAGGGCTTTTTTTAGAGTGAAAGCATTCACAACATGCCGCTAGAACTTTAGCAGACGACGATGGCCGGCACGTGGGCTCGAAGGGGGTGCTGCTGCTGCTAGCGGCGGAAGCTGGCACTACGAACCCCTCCAGAAATTTATTCTGGTTACTTTTGAGTCCCCCCTCGTAATTATTTATGTCATAGAAGGGACGTTCGTTCCACGTCTGAAAATGGAGACGCATAAAAGAAAGCATTATTCACTATGCGGCCTATCTGTGTGGACTCGCTTTCCTCCTGCCGATTGTATAAACGGGCGGCTATTTTAGGTTGAACTGAGACCACGTGGCTGCCTCAATATAGCCCTAGTGTAAACCGCAGTTCCTTTCTTTCTTGTTTGCTTTTTTTCGAGCGGCCTTTTTAAGAATAAAGGGGCCGTGAAACAACATTGGCCATCGGGACGTTCCTCAATTCGCACGAGCGCGCTACACTCCGAGCGTGGGGCGTTCCACGCGCGAAAAATCGCGAGCCAATTCGTTGATCACACGAATGTCATTCGTTGTAAATGGCATTCGAGTTGCCCGTATGCAATCTCGTGCGCAGCAAGGACGACGACAAAAGGGGAGAACAGGACACAACAAGGCGGCTTGTTGTGTCCTGTTCTCCCCTTTTGTCCTCGTCCTTGCTGCGCACAAGATTGCATAAGTTTTCTTGCAGTCTCTCCTCCCCCAAGCCTGATGACGAAGTTGTGGGACTCGCATTGGTGGCATTGTAAATAATGCGGTTTCCAGGATTTCGTCATCAAACTTTGCGATCCCCGCGATGACAGTACTTAAAAAAGCGATGCAACGATTTTTTTTTTTTTTTTTTTACTTTGCGCAATTATTGCTTAGAACGAATCCCCGACGTTAAATGGGAGATGCAACAATTTTTGTACTTTGCGCAAATACCATTAAGAACGAATCCCTGACGTTAATGACCTATAAAACACGCGTTCGTTTTTCACCCCACGCAATAGAAATCCCCCCCACCAAAAAAAAAAAAAAAATTAAAGAAAATGAGCAGCGTTCACCCCCTCAACTCGCAGCCAGAACAAGTGGCCACGTGATCTGGAGCCGATTCTATGCCGCCAATGTTGATCATAGCCACGCGCTGGGGTTGGCAAAGCACATGAAACGCGCTGAGTTCCAGACATTGTTATGGCTCGGCTATTGTCGTCGTTGCAGCGATTGGACACGGACCACTACCCGAATGCTTCTCGAGCTAGTAATTATCACGAGCCCAAATTGAGTGCCCACGCAATGCTCGGGTTCAATCTATGAACCGCATTCAAATATCGTCATTAGGGTGTACTGCGATCTCCACGCTACGTCATCGAATTTCGCAAAGGAGAGATTGAATGAAAATGATTGCATTTGTCCTTGAAATTACACCGCAACAAAGCAGTTTCTTGGCCAGTGGTGTTGCGTGCGAGTAACCTTGAGTCCCACTAGTGCCAGTAAGCGCGTGTAAAGTGAAAAGCATTACAATTGAATATCGTTGCACCGTCCCTTTAATGACCTATGAAACACGCATTCGTTTTCCACCCCACGCAATAGAAGTCGCAGAAACTAATTAAAGAAAAGCGAACAGCGCTCACTGCCTCAACTAGCAGCTAGAACAAACGGCCACGTGATCCGGAACTGATTTAATGCCGTCGATGTTGATTATGGCCATGCACTGGAGTTGGCAAGGTGCGGGACACGCGCTGAGATCCAGATATTCCTATGGCTGGGCTGTTATCGTCCTTGAGGCGATAGAATAAGAGCAGCTAACCGAATGCTTGTCAAGCTATAGAGTATCACGAGCCTTAATCGATTGCTGTTACAATGCTCGGGTCAAATTTATAAGCCGCTATCAAATCAGGGTGTCGAACCGTAACCGTAACTGAATCGCTTATTTTGCCCCAACCGGCACAAAGCCCAAGCCGATATGTTCGGCGCCATTTTGGAGCTGGACCTGAAACGTAGCAAAACAAACGAACCGTTTCGAAACATTTCGCCAAACGTTTCGGGCGCGCATTCGCGCTACTATTCCATGCGCTGTGCGTCGGAAATTTGGAGAGGCTTAGCGCCGTGGAGCAAGCTGTTTCTACTTATGCAAATATTTTTGTAAACATATTTTACAACAACAAAGGTCGATAACCGCCGTCACAAAATCGGCCTGACCCGCTCAAATTCATTGCGTCCACGCGCCCGGCAAAAAGCCGCCGCATCGCGCCGACGCGATGACACACCCAGCCGCCGCGGAAACAACAACGTGCACTCTAAAAAAACACGCACGACACTCGGAGAGCCAATCAGCGCAACTTACGGAGGCAGCTCAGCGAATGACGATGCCGAAACATACGTTTAGACTAAAAAACGCAGTCTGAGTTGTGACATTAAGCAATGCAAGCGTGACGTTTTGCATTGCTTGATGTCACAACTCAGACTGCGTTTTCTGGTCTAAACATATGTTTCGGCATCGTCATTCGCTGAGCTGCCTCCGTAAGTTGCGCTGATTGGCTCTCCGAGTGTTGTGCGTGAAAGCAGACGCACAAACTTTTTTTAGAGTAAGCATCGAATTCGGGTTCACTGCGGTTGATTGAACGCCATTTCATCGAAACACGTTTTAGAGGACGGACTCGTTTTATCGAAGTTCGGTTTGAAGAAAACGGAGCCTCAGTTCAGAGAAATTCTGTTTATCGAAAAGGAAACGCTGCTTAAAAAAAGGCTCCCGTACTTGGCGCGTGTATCACTGGGGCGCGTATGAACCACAGCAGGGCGCCTCGCTGGTGCCCATGGATGCGGACAAGCATGTGCAGCGTGCGCGTGAACATAGCTTTGGCAAGCTTGCAAATGCACGCACTTTCCAGCACCAGCAGGCGGCCAGACGCCCTGCTTGCAATCGTCTCTCTACCTGGGTCTCACTAGTGCCAGTAAGCTCGCGTAAAGTGAAAAACATGCCAACGAAATATCGTTTCACCGCCCCTTTAAGTGCGGCTCGTACAGTGTGCACGCGAGCTGCGGAGCATTCTATTTGGCCTCGTGACAACCAATGCCTCCACATGCATCCGGGTAGAGACTTGTGCCCAATCGCTGCGATGAGGGGAATAGCCGAATATTAACAATGCGTGGAACTCAGCGCGTGCCCTGTGCTTTGCCAATCGCAGCACGTGTCTATGATAAACATTGGCAGCATATACTGACTGGCTCCAGATTACGTGGCCGCTTGTTCTGGCTACGAGTTGACGGGGGTGAACGCTTCTCGTTTTTCTCGAATAGTTTCTGCAACTGCCACAGTGTGGGAAAAAAAAACTGCCCCGGGTTTCGTACATTATGAGCGTTAATAAATAATTCTAAGCGGTAGTAGTACAAAACTTGTTGCGTCGCCCCTCTAATCATTGTCTCATGTGAGGAGATTGATGGTGCGTAGACTCTTTTGTTGAACCGAATCTCGCCTTACACTCTTCAAAATTCTTCCGCGTCTACTTTCCCACAGAGCACTCCCAGAGACAATCTAGAAAAAAAATTGGGACAATTGCGAGGACTCCAATATCATTAGAGGAGAGAATAAAGTGTGAGCACTCCCACGCTCAGGGCACGCCCAGTGTTACAACGCAGACTTTTTGACGTCTGCAAGAATTCGTTTCGTTCTTTGTCGCATTTCTTCGTCGATGGCGGTGATCGTCTGTCCAGGCACTCTGCGGGAAAGTAGACGCGCGGGCATTTTTGACCGATTTTTGAGGGTGTCGAAGAAATGCCGTCAGCTGCGAAGTTCCGACTGATGGCGCGGTCGTGGTCGGCCCACCTCAACCAGAGTTGCGCAAAGTTTTTAGGTCCGCGAGAGCAGAACTATATCAGCGGCTCGGAGGCCTCCGCGACCCCGACTTTGAGCACCTCTGACAGGTATGTTCATGACGTAATCGTTAGTGGATTCAAACACACTGAAGCTTAACGAGAGCGGCAGACGGCGCCTGCTACCGTCGCGTTCGTTGTGCTCCAAGACGCCGACGACGTGAGGTTGGCGGCGCTGCCCATTGCTGACGATGTTTGAGGGGGCGGTCTACGTGGGGTCGCGTCATAACGTCTGGGCCCAAGGTGTCCGAGCGGTACGGAAGTAATCCAACTCTGGTCACAGGGCTTCGAACCCCGGGAGCGCCGGTTCGACGAGCTGGACTCCCCGCGTTCCTTGGAGAGCAGTGAGGCGCGTCGCCAGCTGTTTCCCACCTGGCCCGTCCGTTTTCCGCGCAAGTCTCCTCCACACATGACGCCCCCCGGGGCAGTCCGGACCCCGAGGGCGGGCTACGTGACCGGGTCCCCGAGGGGCGCCGAGCCGCTCATCCTTTCGCCCGGGGAGCAGACCCCGATCCTCTACCAGCAGCAGCCCGTGCCGCGCAGCCTCCTGCCAGACGCCGACTCTCCGGCGCTGCCCTTCATGACCGACAAAGAGGTGTGTGCCTCCTTCCAGACGGGTTCTGCGCGAGGTGCTCAATTGGAACGGCCCTTGTGCAGATCTTATGGGCTCTTCCCAGCACTGGAAATCACGTCCGTTGTTGATGTTGTAGTTGTCGATGTAGTAGTGGTCGTTGTTGACGTTGTAGTTGGCGGTGCAGGGCGTCCGTCGTCGATGTTGCCAAATCCTCGAAAAAGATCGCCCGCCTCCCGCATGAATCGAACTTGGGCTACGCCACAACTCTTTTTTTTTAATGCATTAGCATTAGAACGTTTGTTTTAACGAAAACCCGGCGGTGTCTTTCGTTTGTCAGCTACACGGAGAGAGGGAGAAGAAGGGGGAGACAATGACACGTGCGACGCTCCCATTGGTCCGAAGCGCTGACGTGAGAGCGCGTCAACCTCTTTCCCTCTCGCCGTAGCTGACAAAATTAAAGACACCGCCGGGTTTTCGTCAAAACGAGCCTTTGGTTTTCGTCAAAGTCACGAGCACAGCTGGCGCGGAGCGAGAGAGGAGTAAACGTCGCGCAACAGCCCCTAGGTAACAAAGCCTTAGTGCTGATTGAGATGGCGTCGTCGGAGAAGGCCAACGCCGGGCACTGATAAGAAACGAGGGCCGCGTCAGCGCTCGGCTTCGAGTCAAGTTTGAACTTTCAGCCGAACGTTGACCTAATCGTCGTGTCCCGTCTGGGCCCAGCGTTGGCCTTCTCTGATGACGCCACCTCATTCGGCAGAACGGGCTTCGTTATCTAGGGGGTGTTGCGCCGCGGCGCGGTGGAATGCGGGCGCAGTGGCGTCATTAGGGTCAGCGACACCCGAGACGGTAGTCGCCGCGACCCCCCCCCCCCCCCCCCCCTTTTCACACTGCCCAGCTGCCCTTCCCTGGGCGCTGCACACTGTGCGCGCGTGTACAGTTGCTGCTTTGTCGTCGCCGGTTGTTCTTCGCTCTGGGTTTCTGTAGTTGCGGTGCGTGGGCTGTGATGTGTGTGTGTAGTTAAAACGATAGATATGGTTCCCTCCACGAGTGATATAGATGCGGTTCTATCCTGAAACATAGAGAGGCACCCTCTCTTAAGAGGGCTAATGGCAGCTTTTTCTCGCGCAAACCTCTCGGCTAGTCCCGGTCGAGTGCAGTTAGTCCTCAGCGTTTGCGCACGGTACCTAGCTCGAACCAGATGGTCTCTTCAGGGAGCAAGTGGTAGTTCAGAGCAGGACCAAATGCTGCCATTACAGTCCTTTCAGACCCTCTTTTTTCTAAGAGTGTACTGCAGGCGACTTTGATCCAAGGTGCCCACTTCCATCCGAATATTATATTAATTGAAACTTCTCTTTGTGGGATATATTTCCCGTTGCATAAACCTTTTGCTTACAAGCACTAGACTCTAACACCACGCCGTCTATACGCGCTGGTATCGCACTTCTTTAGCATGCACTCTTTTGCTCCTATGCTGTTTTGGCCCTGTTCTGTTTTGTCGCGTGCGTTTTTTTCGTTGAGCTGTATTGACACCGCGCTCCCTTGACCATGTTGGTTTGGCGTGTACTATTTTGCCGCATGCGGCTACGTCGCGTACCTATTTTGAGGCCGCCTCTGAAAGGTACCGCTTCTTTGCTTTCAGATCTTATCAGCACGCAGGCACCGCAAAGAACGACACAACATGGTTGAGTGGATAGTAACCTGGGTGTTCCTGGTCACCGTGGCAGTGGTGCTGCTAGCCGTTTTGGTTGTCTTCACCTACCGGCAGCCCCGGCTGGACGATAGGAAACAGAGTCAGATCTCGCTGTTCAGCCGATTTGCACACTTGCCCGATTTCAACGACAGAGTGCAAAACCGAATCGTCAGCCAAACGCTCTCCGATCAAAACATTCGCAGCGTGCTTGCGTAAGAATCACCCTAATGCTGCCTCTGCTTTACCTGAACAGTCTTTTTCTTCTTTTTTTTTAATATTGATTTGTTGAAGGTTATGCGAACGCGTATATTTCGCGCTTTGCGATTGTAATCCGGAGACTCGGTTGGCAGTGTAGGCGTTGTACAGAAGTACGGAGTCTGAAAAGCGTCTCCGAGTTTGCCGAGGCAATGTCCTCTCTCCCTCCCCCCCCCCCCCTCCCCCCAGATGTCTTCCTTACGACGTCCTAATGCGCATCTCCATTTGTAAATGATCTCCTTTCTTATTAATTTTTCAGACTTCCCTGGAGCCACTGAATCTCGGGCCCACTCCCTTAACTGAGTTTCAGAAATATTTTTTCTTACAAATTGTTTTTAAGCATATTTTCTATTGTTTTTAAGCATATTTTCTATTGTTTTTAAGCATATTTTCTATTGTTTATAAGCACTTTTTATTGTTTTTTAAGCGTAATTTCTATTGTTTTTTATCCGATTCATTTATTTCCAATTGGACTACGGTAAATCTGCAATGCTAACGCAGGAGTAGACTAAGACACTTTATTTTTCATTCCTTTACAGGCCCCACCTCAATTATTCCGCGTGTTTCTGCCAATACTTTAAAACATCCCTTAAAATGAAGTGCTTTATAAACGAAAACAAGAAAAAAACTATTTTTTGGGAACAAATTGACAACCACGTCGGACGTCCAGGGATCGCAAAAAAAAAATACTAATTAGCGAACTAATTGCCTTAAATGTACTAATTTACTTTTAATTAGTACAAATAAACATATTATTCCAGATAGAAACTTGCTGTGTGTCATGGAAAACCCCTAAATCAGTCAATTTTAGGACGCCAGTGACCTCAGTGTCCGCTCGTCTCCTTCGCCGACGGTTCTAACTTCTGTGGTCTGCAGCATTGCCAAGGGAGCCCTGCATCCCCCTGAGCATCCTGTGACGTATTTTGTTACCGCTTAGGGGACACTCCAATGCATTGGGTCATCAGCACGAGCTGTGTGGAAATCAACCTATAGTCTACCAAGTTCCATCGCAATTGATAGTGCGCGCAGTGAATCTGGTGAAACCTTCCTGTCAGCACGCACACAATAGCAATGCACACAACTATGACAACCAGTGAATACTCTCTAGAGAGACGTGGCAACGTAGGAGACCACCCCTCGTAACACACACTGTTTACTAACTCCCTCAGAATGTCCTAGAGTTTCATGGATATCCTGGGGACGTTCATAGGATGTCTGTGCTGCCTGTAATACATGTTTCCGCCGGGGTTTCCGTTCCCCTTCGCAGGCAGGTGGCCCTGCTCTCCAATGTGGCCGGCGCAAACAGGTCCCAGACGATGGCCTCGTACGTGGACAGCGTCCTACGGAACAACCACTTCAACGTGACCAAGATTATTCCCTACATTGTCACCATGTCCTACGCAGACGACACACACCCGAACAGGGCGAGTCCGATTTGCTCAACATATCCTATCATACATCGTTTATTCAGACACAAAGAGATGTACAGTTCTCGAGGGGCTATCGGAAAAGGCAGTGAAATGCCTGACGAGGAGGCGGCCCTTTTCTCGTCACTCAGCGCGGCCAGCCACAAAAAAAAAGCATGAATAGACAAAGCACTCTACGCAAAAGATAGCATTCTACGACAAAGCATAAATACAAAACACGTTTGTACACATAAAACAAATCACTCCTGATAATACAAAAAAAAATCAGTTATATTGCTTTTTAAGGCATGTCTTGATGCTTTGCATTGGATCTTTTTCTTACCCATCGAACCCGAATGGTTATATGAAAGGATGGATATTTGGTTGGTTAGTTTATACATATGCAATAGTGTGTATTTGTTTCTGTCGTGTAACTGGTGGCTCTAAAATTATATGTGTTATTTCCAGACATACTGCCGGAAAAAGGCAGTTGGAGTATTCTTGATTTCATTATTTATTAAGTAAAGCTTTTCTCTGTTTTTTTTTTTTTTTTTACATTCTGTATGGTTAATACTTTATGATCTCTGAAAAATGGATTTAAACGGCTCTGGTTCGGTGCATGCTCTATTAAACGTAGGCTTCTTTTCTGCAGTAAGTACAAGCTTTCTATGTTTTTTTTTTTGTTGTTGTTGTTTCTTTTTCTTTTTTGTTTTGTAGCACCCGATACATGAAGGCAGTAGTGTAAGCGTGAGTGAATCAATGTGTAATATAATTGTTTCTTGATTCGACGGGGCAATAACTGTTTTAATTTATATATAAGACGAATGGAGCGCTAGATGTTGCTCCTTGTTTTTGTGAAAAGAAAACGCCAAGGAACTCGTGCGAAACAACACGTTCAATAATGTCGCCATGATATTGTTCCAAGATTTCCTGCTAAATACATTTATTCCTTGGTCTAAAAATAATCTACGTTGCTTTATTTGCACTTAGAATTTATCTGGGAATACAACGGTGCTAATGCCTATACGTACACACGTGCGAGAGAGATTGGGCAATAAATATGGCAATTGCTTCTATATGTTGAGCTTTAATGCCATCTTCATCAGATGCGCTATTATTCCTCAGTTTTTGTAACAGGCTGTAAATGTCTGTTTCAGGCAGTAGGGAATCAGATAAAATGATTTTCTGCACCGGATGGGTTGAAAAGTTCGTAATCAGCACAACTTGTAGCATGTGAACCGGAAGCGCCAGACTCTAAAAAATGCTCATTAAATTTGTCAGAAAGCGTAATTCCTGTGAAGCAAGGGACTTCAATTACAACTTCAGTAGCACCGATTTCTTTGCATATTGACATAAGATTATTCACAGTCTTCCATAATTTTAGGAATTATTATAAATGACTGCAAATTTGTTTTTCATAAAAAAGGCTCGGAGCTCGCTTAATGTCACACTATAATTTGTTTCTAGGCTGCTGTGGGTGTTGTTTTCCGGCTAGACAGTCCGGGAGTCTCGTTTTTATAAAAGAGACGTAAAACCTATTACGTTGTTTCATTCTTTTACGAAGTGCGGCGTCTATTCATGGTCGCTTTGATTTTTTTTTATTTCCGTCATAAGAAACGCTTCCTCATATATTCTTTTTTCTTGTTATAACATGTCGTATGCTGTAGTGGGGTCAATCGATTGTAAAATGTTGCTCTAGTTTACTTTCGCGACTAACCTTTGAAGTAACTCGATTTCATCATTGTTTATCAATCTATATGTAACTACGGTGTTTTAATGGTGGTTTCTAAAGTGCTGAGTGGGGTGTAACTGATGTCAGTCACATAGAGTGACATCAGTTACATGATCACACTCACATAGGGTGACATCAGTTACACAGTAAACGATGTCAGTCACATAGAGTGACATCAGTTACATGATCCCACTCACATAGAGTGACATAACTTACACTGTAAACGATGTCAGTCACATAAAGTGACATCAGTTACATGATCGCACTCGCATAGAATGACATCAGTTACACACAGTAAACGATGTCGCTCAGATAAAGTTACATCATGCTTGCATGAAGTGTCCGTTTGTTTTAAAACAAAAAAAAACCTGATACCGTGTGGTTCCTTACAGGCCACGACATCATTATCCCCTCAGATAGGCGGTTATCAATCCAATAGTTTACTCAGGGCGTGACGTTTCACATGAAACGCCCTATGTCACATCTCAGACCTCAATATTGCCGCGCGCGCAGCTGGTCAAGTAGGCAGCGCGCCCGTGGCCGGAGGGTTATCGTGCTTGGCTACCACACAAGCGGCCGAAGTTCGATGCCTGGGAGCGGGCGCACCTTTTTGTCATTTCTGTAAATGTCGGGTTCTGGTGTATTCGAGAATTATGTTGCTTATTCTCAAAGTCTTCCAAGGATGCCATGACGACCCGACGGCTGGGCACCTTCACTATATCAGGACACTTGCCATGATTCGTGAAAAGTATTACTGGCCCAAACTTACGAAGAATGTAGATAACTACACAAGGTTCTGGCACGAATGCCAACGACGGTAGAAAACGCCGACGAAGCCGGCAGGAGTCTTGCCTTGCACCCGATTGCGCCGCCGACCTGCAGATCGTTCCTGCAGATCGGAATGGATTTGCTCGGCCCATTCCCGCCTTCAACGCAAGGCAACCGGTGGATAATTGTCGCAACCGATTACCTAACACGATACGACGAGACGAAAGCCTTTCCATCGGGAATTGCCCTGGAAGTCGCCAAGTTTTTCGTTGGATGCATCGTCCTCCCGCACGGTGCCCCCGAGGTCCTGCTTACAGACCGAGGGTCATCGTTCATGGCACAACTGACGCAACAGATCTTTCGCCTCAGTCAAAGAAGCCACCGTCTAACCACGGTGTACCATCCCCACACCAAAGGGCTTTGTTAATAAACAGCGTGGCTATTACTCGAGCAAATACAGTATTACATACTGCGGACCGCGTGAGTCTATGGTTCGTTTCAGTGCAGACGCAGCCGACGCTACGAGCTGGTGGAACCAATCAGGCAGCGACAAACGCTCACCATCATGGTGTTCGTCGTGTTCCCGTACGTGTTGTGTCATCGCTCAACCAATCATTAACAGAAAATGCCCAAGGACTTGCGCTTTTGACGCTGCACGATTGGTCCGATTAGCTCGTAGTGTCGCCTGCGTCTGGACTTAAAGCTGAAACGAAGTATAAGCAGGATGGGCAAAGGAGAAAGAAACAATTCGCACGCATATCGACGCCGCGGTGTCTCTGGAACCTCGTTCAGGCAGAGCAGCAAATACTGCTCACGGTGACCGACCCCTTAAATTCGCCCCATTGGCAAATATTTTGTTTTTCGACGACTTTCAACCCTCCGTCGAGAGGGAACCACAGTATCTATCGTTCTAATAAATTATACAGTGATGTTGCGAAAGACTGCTCAAGTCGTCCAAGAGTTGATCTTGTTTTGACGGTGAGCTAATGTTGTCGGTGTCTGTTGCTCCCGTGAGAGCGGCACGTTCGACACTCTGTTCGTCGCACGAGGAACGTTTTTCTGCCTGCGACTTTTTTGATCGCCTTGTTTCTTTGTGTAACAATCAATTCCTTGCTTTCTCACACGTCCTTCAGAAACCACACGGTATAGAAACAAAAAATGGTTCAATATATGGAGACCGGGTTCTCTTTTCTAATGTAAATCTTCTTATAACTATTCGTTATCTCCTGTAAACGTGAACAGCCTCCGAAGAAGACGAGCACTTAAAAGATTAAAACGAGTGCGCATACGTAGCAGCCTATTAAGGGTTGCCCGCGTGGCTATGGCGCGTAACCCCAGCGCGCCTTGGCCGGTCGTGTGAGCCCGAGCCTCGGCCTCCCGCCTCAAATGGCGCCTCTTCCCTCGAGCAGGTAGTCCTGGTGAGCCCGACTGGCGAGAGCCTCCGCATGAGCACGCAGGAGACCTCGATTCCTGGCGTTGACATGACCGTCAACCACGCTTACAACGCATACGCTGCCAGGGGCCAAATCACGGTACGCGGCCACGACTGTCAGCTGCTAACTTGACCCACGCCGTTCTCGTCTCGCGGTGAGCTCCTGCGGGACGCTCCTGTTTCCGGATACATTCCACCGACTTCCCGACTGTCTCGGCTCAACATTTCGCGCAATTGCGAACACAGTTGGCAACCTTTTCAAACATGTTGTGTCTATTTCTAAGTATGGAGTGAGTAAATGTATTTTACATTGAATGGACTTCGGGGATTCAACTGCTTCTCCTTTCAAATTCACGTTGACACCCCTGTTGTTGTTGTTGTTGTTGTTTTTGTTAGTTCGTTTTTCTCGCATACGTGAAACAAATAATGAAAAGTCTACCTTTCGTTTTTCTTCTGCGACTTTAAAATGGTCCGATTTTAAAATGTTCAGAGAGTACAACTCTCTTGGGAGGAACACTACAGCCTCGAACACAACATTGCTGTCTGCGATAAGTGTCGTCCAGCACATGGCCTGGCGATACTACGCTCTCCGCAATTCCCGTGCACGTATCGGTGCGGGGAATTGCGCGGGAATTGCTCTCCGCAATTCCCGCGCACTTCCCCGGGAAGCGTGCGAGCGAGCACGTATCGGGGTAAAGTCCGAAAATGTATCTCCAACCAAAATGTGAAAGGCAACCCGACGTTTCAAATCAACGAAGAGGTTAGGAGCTGCTTCTGTGTCCGCGTGCCTTCAGTCACCCCTGAAGAAGAAACCGTGTTGGTTTTGAAACGTCGGGTTGCCTTTCACATTTTGGTTGAAGATACATTTTTGGACTTTAACCCTCACCCAACCAGGCAGATATCTGTCGAATATGTTTACTTTCAACGTAACGGGGTAGCACCGTTCCTCGGAGCGTGTCCAGCGAATGGCGAAGCGGAAAATACGGGTGTACCCGAAAGCGCAGGGTGCGCAGGGGCCATCAGGGCGGTCCAAACTAAGCCGCAAAACGGGTGAAAACGGCTCCCGGAGAAATCCCGGGGGAGCGCAGAGGGAGAGAAATCTGGAAGGAGTTCTTGAAGCTGGCGATCAGTCGTACACACAAAAAAAGAAAAAAAAAACAACTCATGAAGTGAGAAACAATAAACAATGTTGACATTCAGTGAAGAAAAGGAAACGACATCTGTTTTTGTGCCACATTTGTTTCTGAAAACCTATTCTATTTCTATTTTTATTTGGGCGGCATTTTAAGTCAGTAGGAATTCACTTCCGCATTATCCCCGCGCAGAAGATGCTTTTCCATCCAACCGCCCTAGGGGTCTCGTCATTCGCTGGAGAGAAGGTAGTGATTGTCCTCACGCGTGCCCTGTGCAAAGTAGATGCCCGGGCAGTTTTTAGTGTATAGGATAACTGGTTTTCTGCGCTTCCCGCCTGAAACTGCATATTTCTCATTTCTCTGGCCTACTTGAGAGTCTCAAACCATGTCATTTGTTAGCCTGTGAACTTAGCTCTGAGAGCTACCTTCCTGAGATTGTTCACGAGCGCACACACGTTTAATATCCTTGGAAGCTATGAAATTTCTCTCCGGGTTTTCTCGACTGAGAAGAAAGGCGAATAAAGTAGCGCTGACTTGCCGTGAAGTCACGTGGTTCCCAACGGTGATTTATGTTGATTACAGCTCCCTTTTGCCGTACCTGCGCTCGGTACCAACATCTAATCATTAACAGCTCGTACTAAAAAATGGTCCGTTGCTCGTGGAAGCATGTGTGAAGGACCTCTCCTGCAGGTCGTGCATAGTATTATTTTCATTGCGCTCTTAGGCACCCCTTGACTTCCTTTCATAAAGGAGTTTCTCAACACTCTTGGAGCCTGACGGCACAGATTCCGCTCGGTGTCCAGGACGGCTCCATCATCTACGCCAACCGGTGTCTGCCTAAAGATTTTGCGCACCTGGACGCCATCAACGTGCGCGCCTGGGACAGGGTCCTGCTGTGCCGCTACGGCCCGGTGCAGAGCCCCGGCGAAGCCCTGGAGGCCGCCACCAATGTCGGTGCGCGAGGCGTGATCTTCTTCCTCGACCCCGCGGACGTGACGAACGGCGGGCCGTCCTTCCCGCAGTCCTGGTGGATGCCCGGAGATGCCATCCGCCGCTCCCACGTACGCCAGGATGAAGACATCGGCGATCCCATGACGCCAGGTTACGCTTCCAGAAGTAAGTATAGAGTCACGATGACATTACCCGTCTTCGCCGTGCCTAATTTACCCCCGAGTCCCACTGGAGCGACAGACATAAACAACCGACATCGACAAGCCAGCTTCAAGCACGTGCCTGAGAAGGACCTTTGGCAGGCTTGCATTGTCTCGATGCTCGTGAAATAAGCACGAGTGACTGCGAGTGTATACCGAAGGCACCTTCGCGCGCTTGCTGCACGTGCTTGCAGCTTGTCGGTGTCGGTTCTTTCTGTTTGTCGTTCTAGTGGGACTCGGCCATTAGAAATTCTAGGGTTCCGTGTTTTCGGTACGCGCGCACCGGTAAACCTCGAGACACATCCCCGATTTGGAGCTCTAACCTGGACACTTGGCGAAAGTCGGCGAGGGACTCGGCCGCCGTGATTGGCCGGTGCCAAGGTCAAGGGGCGGCGCCGGCTAATCACGGTCGCCGGATTTCTCGCCGACTTGTTCGCCAAGTGTCCAGATTAGGGCCCCTGATTTGTGCACCCGGTTTTGTCGAAATTGGGGAAAAGTGCAGCCCAAGCTGCGATCCAATCGAACGGAGCCGAAAGGAGGTCTCTTTTTCTTTGGGGTTTGTTCTGACCGTCGAAGCGCATCGTAGAAAGAACAAAAAGATCATTCATTGCTAGATCTAACAGATGACATAGCGAAGCAACAAAGGTCAAGGCACTTTTGGCGCTGACTGATTGGCTCCAGTAAAGTCGGCTGCTCTTGGCTGTCAAACGTCGGCTAAAACGCCTTCCTGTCTTTGTCACTGACAGGCACCCGTCTTTAGAACCTACTCGAGGTTTTGATATCTTTCTACCTGTCCTTTTAGCAAACAAAATATTCGCCAGAGAACAAGAAAATAACAGGCTGATATTTTTTTTTTTTTTGTATTACCACTTAAATTTAATATATATATGTATATATATATATACTCAACAAAATATTAGCCCTTAAAAGGAGTTAGCCGAGGAGGTTGCCAAAAAAGTGAGAGTGATGAAACGTTTCGGGCCTGGTAGGCTCTTCGTCAGTCAAGTGATAAGACTTCGTTCTCCTTTTCTTTCAATCAAAGAAAAAACGGCCGGAAAAAAGAAGTTAATTGAAAAAATGCTTACCGTTTAGCGGGTACCTACTCAACTAAATTCTCGCTTAAAAGTTTAATATATCCAGATACCAATGCAATAAATACTATGGAAATAATTAAATATAATATTATTACTGCCATTCTTATCATAAAACCAGTTTTTGGGACATGTGGTTGGGTATAACCCAACTATACCTGGTGTCATGTGAAGCCAATGAGAGGCCCAATGTTACGCGTTTGCTCGTGTCACATTAAACGATGAAGCGAGAAAAAAAAAAAGCAACAGTGCGGTACCGATTAGAAGATCTCAATTAAATGTCCATAAAAAATGACGGCAATGATCCTTTCGAACTGTTAAGGCCCTTCGGTTCTAAAGTATTAAATCTATAGATAAATTCAGATTCTTTATTTTTTCGATCTCTGGTGGTTCGAAAGCCCCCCTGGAGTATAATAAAATTAAAATCAGAAAGTCCGTTATGTCCTGCGGAGTTTAAGTGCCGGGAAACCGGTCCGGCAACGTGTTTACGTATATGACTTTTATGTAGATTCATGAGTTTTCTTATGCTTGTTTTAGTTTCTCCTATGTATTGAATTTGGCATTTTCTACATTGAATTAAATAAATAACATTTTCCGAATTACAGTCAAAGGTACCATTTATTTTCCAATTAACGTTATTCGCTGTGCTACGAATAGAGTTAGCTATAATTATGTCCCCACATAAACTGCATTGGTTATGATTGCACTTGGTGCAACCAATCGGGACCAGGCTACGTCCGATGGAGTTTCGGGACTGTTTAAATAAATCTAATAAATTACGTGGTCTCTTGAACGCTATACCAGGGGGTCGAGGGATAACTGCCTTTAAAGCTGTGTCCATGTGTAAAATATTCATGTGTCGTCTAAGAATATTGTTTATGTTTGGAAGTTTTTATTGGTGAGGTAAGATTAGTCGTAATTCATGATTATTTCTTTTCGGCCGCTCTACTAAACACTATATACTATATATATATAAACACTATATAAATACTAAACACACTACTAAACTAAATATATATATATATATATATATATATATATATATATATATATATATATATATATATATAACAGCGAGTGACTCGCTCGAGAGCTGTGCGACTCAGAAACTGAAAAAAAGGGCATAGCTCATGTGAGATCCTTAACGCCATCGGTACTGTTACGTTGTATTCCTACCTTTCAGAAGTTCTCAAGACACTCTACAATGTTCCGTGGAACGCGACCCGGATCCCCAAAATCCTGGCTCAGCCCATCGGTTATGACGACGCTAAGAAGGTCATGGGGTACGATTAGTCTCGGGGAACAGCCAATATTTGTGGAGCCGCCATTCATTTTCACTTAGTAAAAAATACAGCGCGACTAGGCCGAGGACAAAGAAGAGAGATACACTGGACAAGCGCTGACTAGCTACTGAAATCTTATTAGAAGAGAAACACGAAATTCATATACAGCAACTATACTACTCAATGCCGCATGATGAAGTTACGTTGAGCGTCAAAGAGTGCATTTTTTATCACAACGACGGAAACAAATTCAAAACGCAAAGCGATATCTCGAGCGACTCCAACTTTTGTCCGTTTATTGGATGCCAGGACAAAGCTTCCGTACAGAGGTCAGGAGTATACATAGGATCTAGGGAGACAGCCGTGATCAGCAATATTTTCTTAAGAAAGATCAAACGGGCCCTCGAACTAGAAAAATCCGCCCGAAAGATTTCTTAGGTATGTTGACGATTATTTGATATTCATGGAGAGGATAGATTTCCATACAACGCTTGACAAAGTGCTTAAGACCTTCGCTGAACAAGGTCTAGGCATTGGGTTCACCTACGAGACCCCAAAGGAGAACCATATTCAGTTTTTAAATCTCCTTATGAAAATGAAGGAAGAGCATGTAGGCTGGTCGTACCATCCTAGAGCCGCGAAGGGTTTACTGAACTATCGGTCAGCACACTCAAAACTCGTCAAGAAAGGCATAGCATTCTCTTGTATGAGATCAGTATTAGCAAAATCCTGCATCCACAATATGAACATTCGCTTTTCGTCCTACATTCAGAAGGTCTGAGACTCGGGATTCTCAGATCAGTTATCCCTTCGACCTGCGCCAAATTAATCAAGAACCTCGAGGCTGATCCAACGACTACGAGAGGCGATCTAGTTAGGAAAGAAAAAAAAGAAGGTTTCGGTCATTCCGTATATCCATCGCATTTCACACGGACCGAAAGGAGTCGCATCAATTTATGGAGTGACTGCAGTTTTCTCTGCCCGTAACAAAATAAGCCGAATATGCTCTTTCGTGAGCAAACGCGCAGGCAAAGAAACTCAACTGAACCGTACTGGGTGTGACGTAAAACACGGTATGAAATCCGTCTTCTGCTTAAAAGGAACGGTCTACAAGATCCCGTTATCCTGCTCCCGTTTATATAGGGCAGACCGGGCGATGCATGAACATTCGACTCCGGAAACACCACAGCTCTAGGAAAAGCGTGCTCGCATCTAGCGATCCATTGCCGAGATTTCGGGTGCGAACTACGTTTCACAAGCACAAGTGTTGTACCAGCTTCGAGAGCGTTGTAAAGGGGATCGGTGGCCGAGTGGGCTAGCGCACACCAGCCCATCCACTGATCTCTATTGTAGTAGGCTGGATCGCGGATCGGGAGCTCGTCGGTGTCGCCACCCGCGGCCATTGCTTGGCACCAGGCAATACACGCAAGTTTATGGGAGAAACGCACAAAAGTAAGAATATTGAAGCATGTACGCTGTGCTCGGAGGCGAGTATTTGATGGTGCGCTGCGATCCTTGTGTCGGGTGTTTGGAGATCGAATCAGTATTTATCAAACTTCCGAACGCCGATTAAAAAATATCAAACGTACCGGAGCACCTACGGCTGAGCTCGCAAGCTTGCTCTCGTAGTGGAGTAAACAAAGGAACTTGCCGTCAATGAGACCGTCCTGGGGGAAGCCCAGAAGTTCATGAATCACAAAGAAGTTCCATCTCGACAGCGGCTTTCCGGCAGTGAGAAAATTCCGCGTAGCAAAGCCTTCGAGCTTGTCGTCTGCTAAACCCAACTCAACGAAACTTCCACCGACTCCGCGGTAACTCTAGGTAACTCTCGCCCCAATGAGCTGCACTACAGCGGAGTAACTCTCGACCACAAAAAATTTATTTGTTAGAACTGCGAGGGGCTGTAAGTTTTCATGTTTGTACACAAACTATTTGACGGGCTTATCTAAAAGCATCTAAAAAGTTTCAGTGCCGACAAAAGCTTGGAAACGGGGGAAACGGCACTTTTTCTCGTTCTTCTCATAGAGTCCAGTGCATTGGCTGGTGTCAATCAATGGCCGACGGTGGCGACACTCGGCCCCAGCTGCCGAGGCCGCGGTCCGCTATCCAGCCTACTACAATAGAGATCAGTGGTCCCATCAGAGCAAGCATATACAGCAGGTTCCGTGTGAACATACCCTTGGCAAGCTTGAAATTGCACGGGCTTGTCCGCACGAGCAGAGACATGGCGGCGGCCAGTCGCCTCCCTTACAAACGTACATAGACCGATCTCACTAAGCGTTCGGCGCATGCGTAACGCCGCCATTACTTTAGTTCTTAGGAGGCAGACGGCCGTGCACGCGAGGACTCGTGCCTTCTCGTGCTTTACGCGCGCAGTGCTCCAGTGAGGTTGTCGTACGTGCAAAAGGCTGAAGTTCCCTCGATGCATTGCGGCAGCGGTGGCGTAGTCAAACTGGCTGGTGAGATTGGTCTATTGCCCCGGGAGATAATTAAAGCCTACCCTACAACAACAACAAAAAAAAAAAATCCACGTGTGTAAGCCAGCCATCACTAACCGCGTGAAACACATGTGCGCAAGAATCGCGTCGCGTCGCGTCGCCAAGAGGCTTAACCAGAGGAACGCTATGACGTGGCCCAATGCCGTGCCGTCCCGCGATAGCGTCAGCGACGATTGCTATGGCTACGCTTTTTGGCGGCGCGATACGACGCGATTTTTGCTTACCTGTTTCAGACTTTACGGATAGCGAATTGATTTATTTACTTTTTATTCGGGTCAGCTCTTGAGGTGAAGAAAGAAGTGTTTGAATATCACGCCGTGCCGGTGCCTGTAGAGCTTCTTTTCTAACAAGATTTGAAGAAGTAAGGGTTTGAAGATCACGTCGTGGCTGTGCCTGCGCGAGCATCAGCGTCTATTTCGTGTTTTTGTACTAATAATATTTTAGTTGCTAGTCAGCGCTTGTCCTTTGTCCTCGTCCCAGTCGCGCTGTTTTTTACTGTGAACTCCTACCAACTCGCTCAAATGTACATTCACTTTCTTTCTGGGCAGCATTCTGGAGGAGGGAACAAAATAACGGAAACCACGGCGTATATTCCTGAAAGTTGTATTATACGGGGTAATAATTGCACCTCTGTGCAGTATACCTTTGTTTACGCTTTGCAAGACAAATCAGCGAATCACAGGAGCGCAAGTTTCCCATACGCTCCATTATTTGTCGGAACAGCGGCGTAGACTTTCCATTTTCCCGGGGTGGGGTGGGGTGGGGGGGGGGGGGGGGGGGGGGGGGGGTGTGCTGCGCGTTATTTTTTCGCCAGAACTAGAGATTGAAGCTAACGAAAGAACGCTGGGATTCCATTTCCCATGTATTTTGTCAATAAAGGCAACGTGGGCGTTATTTTGTTTACAGGCCACTACTACACTCTAAAAAGAGCCCGTGCGTCTACTTTCCCGTACAACACTCGGAGAGCCAATCACGGCAACTTACTGAGGCAGCTCAGCGAATGACGATGCCGAAACATATGTTTAGACCAAAAAACGCAGTCTGAGTTGTGAACATAAGCAATGCAAGCGTAACGTTTTGCATTGCTTAATGTCACAACTCAGACTGCGTTTTTTTGTTTTTTGTCTAAACATATGTTTCGGCATTGTCATTCGCTGAGCTGCCTCCGTAAGTTGCGCTGATTGGCTCTCCGAGTGTTGTGCGGAAAAGTAGACGCACGGGCTTTTTTTTTAGAGTGTAGAAGCTCGTTACATGGCACGTAAACATCGTCTCGGTAAGGATCATGGCCTGGGCCCGAGGGGGGGGGGGGGGGGGGGCGGGGGCAGAGCTTCCCTTTTCGGATCTTATTAGGGGGGGCACGAGCCCCGATGCCCCCCCGAAGTCTACGCCGATGTGTCGGAAATTTATTTCAGCTCCGCGTTGAGTGCACGACACTATAGACCCTTTTCTTTGCAAATGCCACCCGGTGGTGCTCCAATCTACAAAATCCCAGAGAACTTCCGGTTTACAAAAATAATGAGCAAATGCCACCTTAACACCGCTGCTTGAAATTTAGATGAAACGTTTAACCACTAATTGTCCAGGTGAGCGCCAAAACAACGAAGTAGTGCGAGATCTGTTAAAATGTGTCGAGTATTCCTGTAAACCAATTAGTCTCCTCCAAGACATTAAACTGGACAGCCAAAGGCCCTCGTTAAATCTCCAAAGTTGTTGTCCGTGTAGCATTTATGCTTTCTAGCACTGGTGAGATGAGCAAGCTCGACAGGCTTGCAAAGACGGAGCGATCGGAAGTCGCTTGGGACGCAAGCCGCGGTTCATGTTTGTAAACATGCAGAAGGGTCTATAGCGAGCTGCACGTTTTGTGTGTACGTGTTTGCGTTTGCTTCGACATCTGAGGCTCTTGTTAGGTTCTCGGGAAGGAGAAGGCTTCCGCTCAGGGTATGCAGGATGACATTCGGACGTCTCGTCCTTTATACACGCGGCTTTGACGTTACGCGGCTGCGGTGGCACTGCTGTCGGTCCGGCGCACGTGCCCTGTGCGCATGCGCAGTGCTGGTGTGGGCAAACGCCGGCTTGTTTTGAAAGAGTTGCAGTCACCAAACTCTGAGCGGGGTCAAAGAAAGGAGGGCTCAGAAAAGCATTCAAACACCAACTGCTTTCGTCACTTTTGAATCCCGTTTTGGACTGCCTCCGTAATGCTCACCCGTGTCGCCGTTTCCTCGCGTGTGTGCTCAAATGAGCTCCTATATTTCTTTGTTGCTGTACAAACAGCATGCGGGCATAACCGATGTAAACTTTTTGCTCTGTATAAAGCATAGCTGGAGCCTCTGTGAAGCGCGTAAAAAAACTTTGAGCCAAAGGACGCAGTTTTTGGCGCTGGCACGCCCAATCTGTTCCCAGCGTTTTTCATTTGACTTCCATTCGTTCGTTTCCCAGGCTTGCTGCTTACGGCTTCACGCCGCGATTCCAACACGATGGTCTTGTAAACGTCTCCACGTAACGCGCGACAATTTTTCTGGCTGTTTTCAACGCAGGAGGATGAAGGGCATGGAATGCCCGGACGACTGGAAAATCGGACTTGGCCACTGCAGCATCGGCGAGACCACTGAAGACCGGTGAGTGCCCTCAGCGAACGTGAGCCTCCTGGTCCATCGAGAATCCTTTGATTGCTGCTCTTCAATATACTCCTTCATGGAGTTCACCCCAAAATGACTGCATTCTTTCCCTGAAGCTCAGATTCGTCACGTTTGCTGCGGTGGCAGAGTTCATAAAGCGGTTGTTCGATTGCATTGCACTCTACGCAAGAGGCGATCTTCGAGAGGAAATGGCTCGAGGACGCCCCTTTTAGTATTTTTCACCTCCTTGCATGCTTAGCTTACAGCGAACTGCCCATCCGCCCGTGAAAGCGAGGTGCTTGCTTGTTTCAGCGTGCCTAAAAGCATAATGTATTTCTCGTTTCAAAGTCGTTTTTTTTGTTCGCTGCTAAGGTTAAACCGGACATAAACGATGCACACCTATAGCATCTTAAAATAGATGTATATGATAAAACGCTGAGCTGTCGGGTAAAAGGCAATTACGCGTCCATTTTGTTTCCGTACGTTGACTGACGCTTATGCTTTTCCCCTTTTCTACCAGCGTGATGATGGAAATCTTTAACACACTCCCAAGAAAAAAAATCGAGAACGTGGTTGGGTACCTGCTGGGCACGGTTGAAGCTGGTAAGCTTTGTGCTTCCTAGAGTGGCAGTGATATGTTCGCAAAAGAGAGAGGAAGCTGAAAAAGAACAGAACGCTAAGCAGAGAACGTGGACTTGAGAGGTCGTGTCTGAAGTCAGAGGGGCGTGCGACGTTTAAGTTCTTTTTTTTTTTTTTTTAGATTCTTCCGATTAAGCTGGGATCGACTTCTTGGTAGTTATGAGATGGCACTAATATTTGGCGACAGAGATCCGTTTAGGGTGCAGCGGACCCCGGGTTTTACTTGTTTCCTGTACCGCCTTCGAAAAAGTGTCAGGTCGTAACGAAGCTCACGGTATCGGACCCGGTGAAACCGTTTCGGTTACCTATTGTTATGTAACAGGTCGTCGCATAAAAGGTGTCAGAAGCAAGTGCTCCGAAAAGGACGCCTTGAACTGAAATGCAGTGAACGCGTAAGTCCGAGTAACGCATGTGTCTACCGAAGAAGGAAAACAAAAACTCGGACACGAGGGACATACCAAGAGGAATAAGAGAACGCTGTCTCAAACACAGCTGTCATTTTAGTTTCAGAAGTATCATTTACTCAAAGCAAACCCCTCCAACGTCGCCAGCAACCTCAGGCCCTCCACGCCGGCACGATTTTTTGTTCCGCTTTTCCTCGGCGGACTTTCGCAGACCGGTACGTGATGTTTGGCGTTCCTTTGGATGGCTGGAGCAACGGAGCCGTAGCTCCAGGCTCGGCGCTGGCGCAGTCGCTCGAGCTCTGCCGGCTGCTGGCGGCCCTCACCAAGACCGGATGGAAGCCTCGCCGGACCATCGTGTTCGCCGGATGGGACGCGCACGAATTCGGAGAAGTCGGGGTCACCGAGTTCATCGAGGTAAGCACTCTCCTCCCGGCTGGCCACACCAAGAGGCGCATAGACGATATGCGAAGTTGCTCAAGCGTATGACAACGCTGAGGGGGCGGCCGTCTTGGTATTTAAGATATTCAAGTATTTATACATGAAAAGCTTAAACACAAAATGAGCAAAGCGAACCCGAAAGCTTACATTTAAATACCTACACACTGGTGATGGGGCTCAGCAGACTACGTCAGTGGAAAGAGGAGTGAAAGAGGCAGAAAGGGAAGAATGCAGGAAAAATCTGCTCTAACAATGTACAGGTCACAAAAACAGGACATAAGAAAGGAGAATGTGTTTGACAATTCACTGGGAAGTTCTTTACTGTTTAAGGCGAGAACGGGAGTTTTGAGGACGAGGAGGTATAGGGCTAAATTTCAAGAGACGGACATACTATGTGACGGACATACTGCGGACCACATAATTTTTATATATATATATATATATTTTTTTTTTCTTTTTTTTTTTTTTTTAATATAAGGACAGTTTTGTTTTACGCGAAGAGACGCGTTTTTGTACCTTTATTTGAGCTCTGAAGTACGAGAAGACGTTTCGAGTGGCAAATGTAATAACGCGAGCAGAGTTGGAGTCGCTCGGGTGTGAAGGCAAGCCTTTTCCAATAGACTGATTTCACCAGCCAGCGTGACTACGGCACCGCTGCCGCAATGCATCGAGGGAACTTTAATTAGTCTTTGTGCACGAGGGGCAACCTCGCCGGAGCTCTTCGCGCGCAGAGTACGAGACGGCACGAACCGTCTTGTGTAGTGCCACCTGCCTCCTATGAACTAAAGTTATGGCGGCGTCACGCATGCGTGGAACGCTTGGTGAAATCAATCTATTGCGCCAAATGCAGACGACCTTAAAAAATTCCAATGTAGCGCCGAGTATTTTGCGACATCGAAATGCACTGCAAAAATATATTGCGTTTACCCGTTTATTGCAGCAAGCGCTGAGGACAGGCGCACGATAGAATGCACCTCTTCCTGCGTGTAAATAGACAGTTTTAGTGGATCTTGGGCAAGGACTGCGTTGTTGGCGGGAGCTCGTGCCATCGCTTTGAGCATGGATTGAGCACGCACCCGCAAGGCCCGCAATCTAGCAAGCTTCTACAAAAACTTTCTAGTATCTTAAACGAAGTGCATTTGCAGACTCGGCATCACTCGAGTTAGGCAAATAGAAGACAACACAACGCGTGCAAATCCAAGACTTTTCGGTAATTTGTAGTATTACCGATCGTTTTGCCCAACCAGCAGCTTGGTTTACTTCGGACACATTTGATAACCATCGAATGCTACCTGCAACTGGGCGTCGCCACCGAAGCGCTGCTGTCGGTGGCGACGGTATTGACAGCGCCGCCGATGGTGACGACGCTAACGTCAACAATCAAAAAAAGCGCAAGAATTAGACGAAGGACGAGTAAGAGGAATGCACACGACTCGTCCTTCGTCTAATTTTTGCGCTTTTTTTGGTTGTAATGCATCCCCACATCGTCCAAGTTACCACTCTTGTGCTAATGTCAACGCCGCGAAACTCGGACTGTGACCGGGGGTCGGTAAAACTAATGCCCCTGAATAAAAAAAGGTAGCGACATCTCCTCTTTCCTCCTCTGACGCGCACACCCTTTATCTTTATGATTTGCTTTTTTACACCCGCGCGACGACTGTAGCGCCGCCTGGTTTGGCCCACGATAGCAGACGGCCTTCCTATACTTGAGTCAGAGCGCAGTCAAAGGCTGAAAGACACGCGAATACATACAGGCTAAAAGCGCACTGGCACGGTCTACCAGCCGCGAAGGATGTGCTCTAAGAAAGACGATGAAAGCCGTGACGTTGGACAGTCGAATTCCTAACACCAGAGATCGAATTCCTAACACCACTCTCTTAAAAATGCCTGAATGTTCACTTACCCGCAAAACACTCGAAGAGCCAATCTCTGCGATCTACGAAATAACTTCGACGAGTGATGAAACGGAACATCTGTTTAGACCTCAAAATGAAGTCTGCGCTGTAGCATTACGCAATGCAAGCATGACGCTTTGCATTGCGTAATGCCACAGCGCAGACTTAATATTGAGGTCTAAACGGATGTTCCGCCTCATAATTCGCTGAGCTGATTCCGTAGATCGCAGAGATTGGCTCTTCGAGTGTTTTGTGGGTAAGTGAACGCGCAGGCATTTTTAAGAGTGCAGAGATGACTAGATTAGTGGCAACTCGTCGTGACGCTAGTGCTTTTTAAACTTTTAAATTTATAGCCATTTCAGTTTTTGAGTGTCAACATTATTTCTGCACCTTCATTATCACTGACAGAAGTCGAATTGCTTGCACTAGAGATAACTAGATTACTGAAAGCTCAACGTGACGCCAGCGCTTTTTAAACTTTTATACTTATAGTAAATTCCCTTTCCTTTTTAACAATTTTCTCTTTTCCTTCTTTGAAAACGTTGAAACCTTTGGGGGGGGGGGGGGGGGGGGGTTCATATTGTGGGCCTTTGTATGTTGTTGCTCAATGAAAGAAGTCCTGTTGCCGCCCCCGGCCTAGATGTTTTATACTTTCAAGTATTCGTAACCATTCACCAACACGCTCGTTTTCAATTATTACTGCACTCTGTAATGTGCACTATCCAGGAGTTACAAAGAGATATTTGAAATACCTTGTATGAAGATTTAAGTCTTGGGCTATTGGACTATTTTATAGCCCAAAGTTTGACTATGTTTGGGCTATATCTCACAAAAATTTGGCGGCTTAATCTGCGAGTACCTCGCAACCCTAAGCAGCAATTTTTTTTTATTTTTTTTTTGGCGGCAAAAAAATTTTTGCGTCCGCTCTAATAGCCTGTTCACAGTGGAAGCGGATCCGCAACCGCGAAGCGGATCCGCGCACTTTTAACCGCCAGGCGGATGGGATCGCGTTGTTGGGGTGCGTTTTGCCAACCGCTTCGGGACGAATACCTCCCGCTTTCGCGAACCTCGAAGCGGCAGCCAATCGTAACGCGACGCGGACGTTACGTCGGTGACTTTCGAAGCAAGATGGCACCCGTCGCTGGTGAGCCTTCCTCTACCTCACTAGTTGCGCGCAGTGTTCTAAAAGGGGCGAGAGCGTAACCCGAGCAATTGAAAAAGAGGGGAAGAAGGAAGTCCACTCTTACCAACCATACAGCACAGCATTTGTTACAATAAAGAACAAGTACAAAAGAGGTATCCGAACCAGATAATTGACGATAAGGCGCTCCTGATAACAATGCGAACCTCGTAGTGCTCTCCGCATACGTTTCTCGGTAAAGATTACTGTTGCGCAAGCTGCCGCGGCGACGGCAGCTTGCGACGTGGGGAGTGACGTCACTGGCCTTTCATATATAAAAAAAAGTTTTGGTACAGTGCGTTTACTTTTTTTCGTCAATCATTTCAGTCAATCAACACATTTCCTCGCATTGATAACGTCTGTAAAGTTCGTCCAATTTTCGCCTTGTCAGTTTCGTTTCTTAACTACACCTTGCCCTTAACAATAACAGAGTGGAATAGCCTGCCTAACAGCATCGTGACCCAGACAGATCATAACACATTCATATCCCAACTGACCATCCATCTGCAGTAGCACTAATAGCAAAGTCATTTCGTGTTTATAGAAATGTTTTGTTTCTGTACTTTTCTGTTTAATCAGGTGTTTTTCCTAAAGATGTTTTCAGTGTTTATTTTTCCCCTGTTTTTGTTGGTTTAACAACGTTCTCCGGCATGTAACCCACTTTTTCTTTGTTCTTTTATGTTTTTTTCAGCGAGTACCCCCACCTTGTGTAATGCCCGTAAGGGCCTTCAAGGTTTAATAAATCATGATGATGATGATGATATACCCTTTTCCTGTCTGCAAACATGAACTGCCTCCTGCGTCCCAAGCGACTTCCGGTCGCACCGTCTTTGCAAGCCTGTTGGGCTTGCTTTTGTAACCAGTGCTAGAAAGTATAAATGCTACACGGACAACAAAGTTGGAGATTTAACGAGGGCCTTCGGTTGTACAATATCACATTTTGGAGGAGGCAAGTTCGTTTACAAGAATACTCGAAACATTTTAACAGATCTCGCACTACTTCGTTCTTTTGGCGCTCACCTGGAGACTAGGTGGTTAAACGTTTCATCTACATTTCAAGCAGAGGTGTTAATGTGGCCTTTGTTCATTCTTTTTATAAACCGGAAGTTTTCTGGAACGTCAAAAACTGCAGCACCACCTGGTGGCATTTGCCATAAACATAGTCTATAGTGCAGTGAGCAATCGTTGCAGGTGATACCACAGCTTCGCTGTCCGACCACCTACACAGCGTGTTATTGGAGCCCCAACTGTTCTTTATATCGTCCGTAGTTTCCGCAGTACTGCGCCCAACTAGTGAGCTGTTTTAGCGCGGAGCAGATAAATAGGCGAAGAAAGGTCATGTTCACATCCGTCACTTGAGTCCGCCGCGAAAAAAATTGACTCGTATTCTTAACTGGCTTCGCTTTGGTTCTATGGTTCGGGTAAGCTAGTCTGTTTGTTATTTGAGGTGCCAAAGCCTGTGGCTGCGCTGCCTTGTTCGTCTTTGCCTGCATCAAAATTCGTCTCCGATCGCCCGAAGTTACAGCTTTTGTAACCGGCAGTCGCGTAAACTGCTCAAAGCTATCGACGCCTGAGATATGAGTTAGAAAGCGCGAAATGCGCTCAGGCAGTACAGACTGCCTAGCAGGTAGCTACCGAAGGATGAAAGCAGCAGTGATGGTGAACAATTTTGTAGATGCACCCCCCGCGCGTATACCTCTTCACACTCCGCCGAACGCAGCGTCTGCATCGCGCGGTCTGTACTGCCTGGTCGTCGTTCGTGTGTTCAAAGCTCATATCGCAGGCCATTGTACATGACCACCACGAGAGCACACTGGGGCTGGCGTGGAACCAAAGATAGTTGCTCTAGCTCGCTCGGCCCATGACGTTTGCACCACCAAGAGAAATAAAGGGCACCTAATCAAGAAATAAAGTGTACCTACCACGTGATGCGTAATCCATACGGCGTTTATTTGAGCTTAATATCAAACAAGCGATAAACTCGTATGCCCATGCGTTCAGCAGGTTAACTGTTTTCATCCGCTTGGCATTGTTAGCGCGCGTCACTGATGGTATTCAACTCGTTAGGCCTGACTGATTGATTCACGCTGTGAAGGTCCTTTCGGAAGCATGAGTGCATGAGCCAGCGCGTCTGGGAAGATTCGGTCAACAAACTGACATCATCAATTGCAGATTGAAACTTCCCTTCTGTGTCCCTCCGACACAACTTGACCGACGCTTCTCCGTTCATTTTGAACGTCTTTCTTCGGGCGAGCAGATCACCACCGACTCGTTCTTTGTTGTTGCTGTTGTTTTCTTATGTACTGATGTTTTTGTTCTGCCTTCCCAGGGGAACCGCCACAAGGTTTCCTCCAGGACAGTGGCCTACCTCAATTCTGACATCTGCAGCTCTGGTATGTCGCCAGAAAACTCTCGCAAGTTTTGATGACGTCACCAGCACTATCCAGAGGTTTAAACTGAACATTGCGCATCGTTTAAATTTAGTTTTCGGTCTGTTTATGTCGTTTGTGCATTCTAATGTATATAAAAATGTGAAGCCCTCCAGGCGCCGACTGCCGATGCATTCAAACAACGTTCGCAGTGCATTCATCGCTGTTTTGTTCCAAATACCGAAGATCGCCAACCCTCTATATATATATAACGATAACGGGCAGTCAAGGCTCGGCTAATACTTATTCCCCTCGGCTAGCTGATGGCTTGTGACCGCAAGTTGCATTCACGTCCTTTATTCCTCTTTAGGCTCAGAGTTTGCGGTGACAGCTTCTCCGGTCTACAGGTCGTCATTCATAAAGGCAACTCACTTGGTAAGTGCCCCGAAAGTATTGTTACCCCAGAAGACGAGAAGACATTCTAAATGCCGTGTACGCGTACGCCGTAAATAAGGCTAATTGAATACCGGATGCACGAAGGTAAAACGATCGCGATTATGCTACAAAACACGTCCCCCAGTGAGCACGAATTGACACAGTGTGAATGCTCGAACACAGCAGTTATAATGAAAGGCCACAGGATGAGTGGCCAAAGACTGGCCAGACAGTTAGCGCTGTCTGGGATAGTCTGTTGAAAAGTTACTTTCTCAACCTTTGAGGAGCCATTGGAACTACGTGGCCAGGGCATGCAGTGGATTTTTTTTTTTTTTAATATTTTTTTTCTTTCCAGGTACCTGATTTCCGGAATAGTTCTGTGACGTACTACAAAGCCTGGTCAGCCGACGTCAACTCCCAAAAGGATGAGTCTGGCAAACCGAAGTGAGCCCAACGTCCAGTTCCGCGCGATAGGCGCCGTTTGACCGAAGGTCGCTTTCATTAGGAGCATCGAGGCTCCGCTCAAATGGAACTAGTACTGGCCTTTAATAGTCTGCAAAGGCTAATAACGGAGTGCAATAACTTCGACCTCGGAAATGGTTAGTCATGCGGTCTGCTTGAAAAATCTAAAGAAACACATATCAAGATGACGTTTCCGGTTTTGCACACTGAGCACGATGTTTCGTGTGCCTGGTATCCCAGCGCAGATCGCGTTGATGGGGTTCTTGTAGCCTGCAGTCGAAACGGTTCGCGTTCGATGTGCTCTACAGGGCACTTTTGTTTAGAGCGCAGGCACTACCGAAACTTGAGTGTTTTTGTTTACGAAATCTCGCTGCTCCCGTTTCGTTGAGGCTATTCACATTCTTTGAATAGTCGGCTGCCGCCAAGTCGAGGCGATAGAGAAAGAATATTTACAAAATCCGGTATACAGAGTACCAATAAACAAATCTAGAATACGGGGGGGGGGGGGGGGGAGAGAATAGGGGGTAGTGCTTCTTAATACCTGATGGCTCTGGCTTTACACTGGACGATAAATTAGAAAAAGAACGTGTCTGACTAACTCGAAGTGACTCAAAACATCGCAAGTTTACGCGAATATCGGCCATCTTCGAGAGGCTGCCACTTTATTATTATCAAACTGAAGGCAATATGTAATTATAAAAGATACGAAGCGGTCAGGGGTATATGAAAAGGAGTAGTGGTGCCAGGACTCAACGGGGGTACTGCGGTTGAGACCAGAGGTTACATCAAGATTGGAAATTTGACAAAGGAGCATGGGCAGGTTAGCACTGGGGGCCAATGGGAACACACCAAATGAGCAGAGGCACATGGGCTGGTCCTGCTTTGAGAGTAGAGAGGCAATTCATAAATTGAAATTTTAACAAAGATTAACCGAAAGGGATAATACTCGGTGCCCACAAAAATTATGGACAAACCCAACCAGAAGCTGACTATTAAATACACGCACACTAGTGATGGGGCTGAGCAGGCCAGTTGAGTGATAAAAGGCATGAAAGATGTAGAAAGGGGAATCTGGGGGCAAAGATTGCAAGAAAAAACAGCTTTAACAATGTAAAGGTCACAAAAACATGACATGAGAAATGATAAGGTGTTTGATCATTCACGTGGCAGTTCTTTGCTGTTCGAGGCGAGAATGGGAGTGTTTAGGACAGAGACGTATGGGGCTAAATTTCAAGCCATAGACGCATTATGTGCCGTATACCATAGTAACAGTGAGACGCTAGAAAATTTGGTGTTGAAGTGCACGGGGCTTCGCGCTGCCCTCCCTGATGGGGTGACAGATCTGACGCGGGCGCTGGGTTTTGCTGACGATGATGGAAGAATAGACAAAATGATTACAGTCACAAAGATGAGGTTAGAAGATTAGTGAAAATTATCCAGGACAATTTTTAATGAAGTAAAACTAACTAACAGAGCTGGTGACGGGCGGGACAGGGGAAATTGGAACTCCCTCGCCTCTCAATGGACCCGGTGTTAGGTTGACGCCGTCAAGGTTTGACCAGAGGAAAATTGGCTACTTCCTCGCGGGGGAGAAGGCGAGGGGTGGTGTTTTCTTAGTTGTTTTCTTTTTCTATTTTTTTTCCCCGGTCTTGTAAAGGTTATCCTGGCGATATCCCACACGCCCTCGTGATAGTTAGAAAAGTGCAGAGGGGGCAAATTGCCTCAGAGAGGCGAGAGGAGGAATCATACCTTTGTTTTCTAGCTATAGGTGGCGCAAGCTACCGTCGATTATAAAGGGTATTCGCGACTTCAGCGAACTATAGGGGGCGCGCTGGTAAGACAAAATGGCGGGCGAAAGAATGTTGTTTCGTCGTTCAGCACGCGGACCACCATAAATTGCTTTCACTGCAGCGTAAAGTTGTTGCTACTTATAAAAGCAAAGCGATTTTTACACGGTAGAAACCTTCTTCTAGTCAGTGCGTAGGAATGACACGGCGGAAGCATAAAAATATTCACTGGAAACGATTTTTGTAACAACGCTGCCTACGAGAACCAAGCAGCGATAGCAGAAGACATAGTCGAAACGACCTCCTCTCTTGAGCTTCTCGGCGTTGCCACTACGCGGCGCCGATTTCGCTAAAGTCGCAAACAACCATTAGAATCCATCCATCCATCCACGTCCCTATCGGTGCGTGCGTATACCGGATACGCACGCACATGCATGGTTTCTGGTTGGCCCGTGGCTTTGGCTGGGCTCCATTGCGGGGTGAGTGGAACTACACTAACACGCTGTTCCCAAACCAGATGTGGGCACTGCGGGTGCACAGAAGCCAGATTAAGTGAAGCAGTTGCGCATGCGCCGGTAACAGCGCCACCGCAGCAACGCCTTCACGTTTCGAGACTGTTGGAGAGTTTTTCTCTTTTCTGTGTTACGTTCCCTGGAAGGCTGGTCAAACGACGTAATCGCACACAGAATTCAGCGCCGCACGCTCCCCCCCCCCCCCCCCCCCCCCCTCTTCGGACATCGCTCGCTGTTTGCCCTAATAAAAGTTGTTATATGCAGTATCTTGACAAAAATGCCGTCAACGAGGTTTACGCTAGCGACATCGATTGCTCGCGGGTTTTCAAAAGAAAACAGAAAAGCAGAAGCAAAGTATTCGGACAATATGAACACCTTGTTGTTTGCCATAGAAGTGAAGGACGCCGCTTGCGAGAGTCGGGATTATATCAGCGGACTCCTTTGTGTGCCAGTGCAATTTAAGGTGAAGGGGGTAAAGGGGTAGTGGAGCGATTTTATTATCGAAACAATTTACACTTCTATCTTTTTTATATCCTTTATCTTAGCACAAGTAACAAAAAACGCGTCACCTTGCCCCGAAAAACTGCTATTCCGCTGCGGAATTGCAAAAGGAAAAAACGAATCATTTGCCGATCTGCAGCCGCGTGTGGCGGTTATGGGAACTAGGGTGACACGTCTCCGGGGGGACACGCGGAAGTCAGCAAAACCTCTCCCCTTCCGCCAATACACTCGCCGTCAGCCCCGTGGCGAACCGTATTTTGTGTTCATCACTCGCCGTGACCTTCGACGATGCTAACCCTTCAAAAGTCGACAGTCGCGGAGGAAGCGGCTGAGATCTCTGAAGAGAGAACCCAACGGGAAACCAGGTGGTCCCCCTGGGTACTTCAATCGTAAGACCACGCGAGAGTTGAGAGGCACAATGGCCTTCAATTTTTTTTTCTTTTTTTTATTATTATTAAAAACTAGCGCACGCAAGAAAATGCGGTTTTCTGTTCTTCGTTTCATAAGTGACAGAGATTAATTCCCGCAGTGAATTTGCCAGAGTCCGAAAACCGTTGCATTGTTGGGAGACACGGGCGCTGGGTGAGGCACATAAGATCGCCATCCACGTCTCAGTGTGACACTTGACACAACGCCTGTGGTTCGCAGCTTGCCGCCACTAAGGAAGAGAGGCAGCTTCCTGCCCTTCGTGCACTACGCCGGCGTTCCCAGCCTCGACGTCGGCTTCCGGGTAGGTCAGCCTTCTGCGCCCTCTACGACAGGAGTACTGCCGCATCTGTCCTTCGGAACGGACCACCGTCCTTTTGGCGTGGATCGAAATTCGGGATGTTCTCACAGAGTGAAACCATAGGGCGAATCCGAGGCCCCTCATTGGCCTTTTTATAAGCGCGGCACAAACGCGTGTCTAACTGCCCTTCGGCTTCTTTTCTGACCCCACACGTTCCCCTGGTGCACCGGCCCGCGTCTAAGCGCGATCACTGTCACGGCGCTTTGAGCGCGCACGCGGTGTAGTTTTTGGAGGTAAACAACTGTTGTTTCCCTCCAATACCATCAGCCATCGTGTCGCCACCGTCGAGGGCGGTCGTCGCGGTCGGGTTACGTCGCGTCAAAGCCGCGTTTGTTTACGTATTTTACTGCACTCCTCGTGACGCAGAGTCCACTGCTCGGCTTACTGTCACGGGGCGTCTCAAACAACGCAAAAGATCACGGTCCTCTACTGCTTCCAAAAACGTGGGACGTTTAAACGGGTCGATCAGGGCCCTGGACTTGCCCCACGGTTTTACTCTGTGGGGAAATCCCGATACGCGTCCGGGCTTTCGGTTTGCCGCATCATTCGTGTGGTTTGAGCGAACTCCCCGGCATCGATTGGCAGTCGTTGCCTTCTTTACCAGCTAACACGGCACATTATGTTTCCACCAAGCGACATCCATTTACATGACCATCTTCAGTTTGGATCCTTCGGAACTTCAAAGTTCTTCTGAACCGCCTAGATCGCGGTGAACTGTCATTCCGCTGAAAGTGGTTCTCGCCTATCTCGGCGTTGCAGACGCAATCAACTTCCCATCTTGACTAAAGGCCCGTTCACACGATGCATTTTTCTCGCGCATCTAGTGTCGCGAAACGTAGTTTCACGAAATGGTTGCGTCGTCTGAACGAGTCCGAAAAGGATGCGCGCATCTAAAAAAGGTTGCGCGCACACCTCGCTTTTGGAGCGAGCTTTTGCTGAAACTTTGCCGAGTCCTGTCAATCACTCTGAGGGCGCCGCCAATGGCCACTCAGAAACGCTCTCACGTGGCCTTTGAGGGAGGAGCGAGCTGTTTGAGAAGACCACTGCACTGCCGGTGTTGTAGCCGAGCCAAATCCGAAAAAAAACCGAAACCACGAACAATGGAGACTGCCGGCGCTTCCGCAAGCACGTCCAGCACCACTGAAGGAAAAGTGAGTAGCATATCGGAAAAAAAATCTAGTGATGGACGAAGACGTAATTGGTGATGATGATAATTCGCGTCTATTTTTAGTCATAGTTAAGAAATAAAACCTTGAGACAAGGAAACAAAAAGGGACGTACACAGTACCGTCTCAAAACCAGCACAGCGTACAGCTCTCATTTACTTCCACAACAGTCTTCTTCTTTGTCAACCTCCATCCAAATTATACATATTCAACAGTAAATAAAGTAAATGGCAGTAAATGACAATTCAACAACTAGTAAATGACAATTTAAGAGTAAATTAAGTGAATGAAAGTAAACGACAGCTGTATGCTGTGCTGGTGTTAAGACGGTGGTGCGTGTGTCTCTTTTTTTTTTTTTCCTTGTCTTAAGGTTTTATTTCTTAATTATGATTGTTCATAAGCTCGCCTTCCTTTTTGTCTCTTAGAATGTGGCGGGAGATGGAGAACACGACGCTGAATGGCTAATGGTGATGATGATGATGTTGGCTTTCAACTGAAACGCCACTTTATGGTCAACACGCAAACTATTTTCGCGACTCTAAACGTCATCGTTGTTGCAGGTGAAGCGGTACGTGTGAACGAGCACATTTCGCGAAACCTGAGTATCGCGAAACAGTTGCGCGCCTAAAAGATGCATCGTGTGAACAGACCTTTATCCCCCCCGCTCTCTTGAAATTTTGTCGAAGTTTGTGTTACTTTATTGCCACAAAAATTACTTTTAGAGCCGCCATACACGTGCCAAGCACGCGCCGCGTGTGGAGCAGTGGGAAGCTATTTGCTTCGCCACTTTTTGTTTTAGAAGGTATCGTTTTGCCTAAAAGCAAATGGATAAGACTTACGTAGTAAGTTCTGTTAATAAAACTCGATAAAGAATGACCGGGGCTTAAATAACGTGATAGATTGCAAACATATCAAAATATCAGTGTGCGCAATAGATATATCCGCGATCCGAGAGGACACCAAATGACAGCAATGGCGCTGCTTTGAGTGATTCTCGAAAGGTGGGGTGCAAGGTGCAATCCAACCTCGTAGGAGAAGTGCATTACCGCCGGCAGCTGTCATCATCATCATCATCATCATCATCATCATCATCATTTATTGAACCTTGAAGGCCCTTACGGGCATTACACACATTACACCTGCTGAAAAATACATTATATAAAGGAACAAACAAAAAGTTGCTTACATGCTGGAAAACACTATTATATAAAGCAACAAAACAGGAAATAAACACTCGAAACATCTTTAAGGAAAAACAGCTGATTAAACAAAAATACACAAATAAAAGATTTCTATAAACACTAATTGACTTTGCTATTAGTGCGAATGCAGATGGATGGTCAGTTGGAATATGAATGTGTTATGATCTGTCTGGGTCACGATACTGATAGGCAGGCTATTCCAGTCTGTTATTGTTAATGGCAAGGTGCAGTTAAGAAACAAAACTGACGAGGCGAAAATTGGACGAACTTTACTGACGCTATCAATGCGAGGAAATATATGCGAGTTGTGACCGTCGTGTGTCCGCCGATGTCCCTCGCAGAACAACCTGAGCAAGAGCCTGTACTTCCCGGCGTACGGCACGGCCCTGGACACGCTGGTGCTGGCCGAGAAGTTTGTGGACCCGGGTTTCAAGGTTCACAGGATGTGCACCCAGCTGCTGGCCACGCTCATCCGCATGTGGTCGGACACGCCACTGCTGCCGTACGACCTGACCGAGCTCAAGGGCCAGCTCAACAGCCAGTTCGGGGCCATGAAGAAGACCTACGAGGCCACCATCAAGAAGTCCAACATCAGCTTCGGTGCGTTTCTCCGGGCACGGCGGCGAGTGCGAGGAGTACGCGCTGGGGCCCGCAGAATTCAAGACCGCCCGAGTCCCACTCCGGCTGCATGCTAAAGCTACAGGCGCAGGCTAGCCTGCATGCGCTCCTGAAGCTTTGAGAAGCGCATTTCTAGAGCGAGTGCTCGGTCTGCGGGAGAACATTTCAAAGCAGCGACCCCGTGATCTCGTGCTTGTGGCATTGGCTGCAGTCTCAGCTTAAGGGTGTGTAGAGCAATGAACCGAAACAACCGACACCGACAAGCCTGAAACACTTGCAGCACGTGCACGCGATGGTACCTTTGACAGACTTGCACTCGCTCGGGGTTCGCGAAGTAAGCACGAGTGATTGAAAGCCTGCCAAATGGGCCATCGCGTGCAAGCTGCAAGTGTTTGAGGCTTGTCAGAGTCAGTTGTTTCTCTTTGACAGCCGATGCTACAAGCGCAAGCGTGTGGCCCTGAACAGTGCTTGCACTGCACGAGCGCACGTTCTTGGCAGGGACGCTGAAAGCCTGGAGCTTGCGCTTGTAGCATCAAGTGCGTCAGGACTTAAGCTGAAACAAAGTATATAGTGGGCATTAGGCCTCTTGCACGACAAACGAACCGTTGACACAGACCGCGATGATTTTGAGATTCAACGAATAAAAGAAGGAACTATAGTTGGTGGTGAACACTATATAAGAAGCTCCACCTCCAGCACGCACTCCTTGCCTTCTGTCGTGCTTCGGCTGCGCGTGGTCGCCAGACGCTTTCGAAGGGAAAAAACTCACGCTCAACACGGAACTTCCACACTTTTTCGTCTATAAAATTCGCGAATATCTGTGCGCCATTTTTGCGAACAGCAAAACAATCACATTCCGATCCGAGTCTACTTTTATGACATGCCTCCTGCACGTTCGCGGCTGTTGCATGCTCATGTATGAGTCACTCATCAAAATGACTAATTGGAAAACCGTCAAGGCGAAACAAACTCCTTTTATAAGGAATGACGGACAGAAGGATCAGCGTATTGCAGTGCTGCTAACGGCTTAATGCCACAACGGACACCCTCGTTATGCAGGAGTCCCTTCGTTGGCCTTAAAATACGATACATGCAAATTTTTCTCTCGGTGAATATTATCAAATGCCGTATTTAGTAGTACGATCGATATTGCGGGAATACTGTAGTGAAGTCTCGTAGCCGTAAATATAGTATCGAATGAAATTAATACCCAACTAAAGTATCAATACGTATACATGTAGATGTGCTATACACAGCCGATTTCCCGATTTAAGTGCGCTTGAAAAAAAGAAAAAAACAAAAACAGGACGAATAAAACTTTTTAACGCCTAAAACTTAAAAAGCAACTCTCTACAGCATTGAAACATCACGTCAAGTATTTTGTACAAAACCTCAGTAATCTGCAGATCATTATTAACTACGAAATGCTAGGGCAGTATGGATATTTTAATGTTTTTTTGTTTTGTTTTTTTATCTCGTTTTAAACAAACTTCCAAGTCTATAAAACTTTGTTAAGGTTATTCAAAAATGGGGAAATTAACAATTTCCGTAATTACGTGCGTTTTTTTTTATTTTCAGTAATAAAAACAATCCCGCATCATAAGATAAGACAGAGTTGTTCAGCAGAGGCGCTTGGTTTTACGGACGACCTTCCTGACGCGCTAGGACTCGCACTGGATGAATGGTAACGCCTGCCTTCTGTTCAACTTTCTTCTAGAGGGCATCGGAAAGGCCTTGGCTAAATTCAGTACAGTGCTGGACAACTTCCTCGCGGACCTTGAACATATTAAAGTGCATAAGTAAGTCCCAGACTCTGTCCACAAACACACTTGCCAGGCTCCACGCTTCCAGTAAACCGTATTGCTGCAAGCCTGAACGGGTTGGAAGTGTGGCTTACTTTCTACTTAGTAGTACTGTCGCGGATAATATGTGCCAGTCCTTCATGCTTCTTTCGCGTACGTTTCTGAGAGAGCTGTACTCTGAACTAAGAATGGAATGGGAAGTTGGGGTGTCATGCTTCTTAGTATTTGACAAACTGAGAGACAATTGAGCTTGCGGGGATTGCAGACGCAGAAAAAGGCCGGGTCTTTCTGCGCACACGGGCTCGAGACTAAACCGCAATGTGACCCAACAGAGAGAAATTGCACGTGATACGCCCATCTGTCGCGTTCTGCGAACATAATTTGAAAGCGCAGAAGTCAAAAATGAAAAAGCAATGGACCTTTTGCAAAAAAAAAAAAAAAATCCCAAGAGTCCGCGAGCAAAGCGTAGAACGAATTCTAGAAATGTCCTTACCACGTGACACCGAAGAAAGAGGGTAGCGTAGTTTCTCGCCTGCCTTCGCCCGCGTATCTTCCGTCGCCTGCTACAGCCGATTATACACAGTCAGTTTGAGGCATTGCGTTTGGCGCCGCGGACAGCGCTGCACGTTTTGCAATGGTTGCCGATCACTCTCCAGGCCCCCTTCAGGGACCTCTGACGTGCGAAGTGTGGTGGGCGGGCTGTGGGTAGCCCCCGCGCTGAAATCTGTCCGTTCCTCTTCACAGTCCCCTGGACGTGAGACGTGCCAACGACAAGATGATGAACCTGGAACGATGTTTCGTTCAGGAAGTGGACGGCAGTGAGGATCAGGCAAGGCTCCGGTAGGTTGCTCGGCTGTGCCCACGCGTGCCACCCCCACCACGAGCGAACACAACTGCTTCGAAACGGGCTGCTATAGGGCACCGTTCAAGGGGGCCGACAGTGCTCGCCGGTCCATTGAACCGCCTCCATTTTGTCACCGGACCCCACGCTCTGGCGCCGTGACCACGTCACGAAGAATGCACGCGTGGCGGGTACAACGAGCACCTATAGCTTCCACCTCATTCTCAGCTCTCAGCTAGTGCTCGCGGGATATTTTTATGTTTTTCGTCCGCGTTCAACGGCAAAAGGCCCCGTTTTGGGAATACCAATGCATGGTTGATGAGGAAACAACTTTGAAAGGTAGCGAATGGCTAAATGTGTGTACGAGAATTGCAGATTAACCTTCTTCAGAGAGTTCTCTGCGCACACCCTGTCGAGCCATCATATCTTCAGACAAACATAAGAACACGTATACGATCTTTTTCGGGTGTATCACTTACGCTGGACACTGTATTCTCTGTACCCGGTTTGTCTCTTTCCTTTTGAAGAGAACCAAACCATAGCAGAACCGCAAGCTGGGCTTCCTTATTTATTTATTTATTAGTTTATTTATTTTATTTCCAATACCCTCAGGGTCCGAGGACGTTGCAGAGGGAAGTGGGTTACAAACAGTGGAAGATCAAAAACAACAATCCTAAGAATGCAAAAATACATGGTAATGAAATGCTAAAAGGTAACACTGTTAAGGCATTGTTTGAAAGCGAAGGAATCAGATATGGATGCCACAGACGCTGGAAGGTGGTTCCATAAAAGCGTGGTTTGGTGTATGAATGAGTTGTAAAACGTTGTAGTGTTACATGGAGGTATACCGATCCTGTGTGGATAATCGAGGCGTGATAATATGTAGAAAGGGGGTGTTACTAACTTGTCACGCAAAAGAGGATTATGATAGAACATTTTGTGAAACAGACACAAACGGGTAAGTTCTCGACGTGATGCAAGGTTAGGCAGGTTCAAACTAAATTTCATTGATGTTACGCTGGCAGTGCGGTGATAATAAGTAAGGATGAAACGAACAGATCTGTTCTGAATTGTTTCAAGAGCTCATGTCATGTCAATACGTTAAAACCAGAGTTCCAAATTGAAGAGGTGTATTCCAGCTTAGAGCATACGAGCGTTTTGTAAAGAAGCAGCTTTATTATGTTTAAAACGGGAAACAGCAGATGAGACAACGTGCATACGCCTGTATCTTCCTTGGACGCGTTGTGTCGGCGTTTAAAGGGGTACGGCAGGAAATACTAACGCCTATTTTATTGTCTAAATGTCAACCACGCTCTGGTCACACAACAGACACCAATTGTTGTTAGAAAAGACGTTATACAGGGTGTTTCGCGCAAGAGTTACAAAAATTGCCACAATCAGCGTATTCCAAGTAAAAAGATGCTTTTCTCGTGACCGCATTACTCGTGGTGGCGGACGTCAGAAAAGGCATGATACTTACTAATTAGTTCGCTAATGAATTGAAAATGACTAAATATTTTTTTAATTATTGAAAATAGACATATGGATCCAATTAGAAACTTCCTGGGCGTCATCGAAAACCACTAAATCAGTAATTTTCAGAAAGACTTTGAGCGCGTAAAAAGCGTAGTAGTGCACTAAAGTTACCACTCGTGGAGCAGGCCCAAGGCTAGTGGTTGAGGTAAGGCGCCCGCGCGATTTTTCCGTCTTTTATCAGAGTCCCAGCCTTGTACCACCTTTTTCGCAAGAGGGGTCCGAAACTTTATCATATAAACCCGCCTATAACCCCCTTTACAGGGAAAAGCCTGGCTGACTGGTATATCGCAAATTGGAGAAATGTAAAAATCAAAACAAAGGTGATTTCGGAACATGTAACCTGAAAGGCAGATTAAGCTTCTCCAGCAAAATCTCGACGCATTCCATTTCAGCGGAGCGAACGCTGGAAAGAAACCCCCAATCATGAAGTAACTGTAAGTGTGCAGAGGACTACGGAGGGGCATCGGGAATCGTGCTCCCCCTGGTGAGATCCAGGGGGGAAAGAGCCCCCCCCCCCCCCCCCCCCCGGGCCATGATCCTTACCGAGACACTGTTTACGTGCCATGTAACGAGCTTGCTCTCCAAGTGGACTTAGATCTTGTGGCGAACGACTCTATCAAACAAACACCTGTCAGAGAAATCACATTTCTTGCTGCAGGATAACATGTGTAATTGCCGCATCTGTAAACCTCCCTGACTGTACATACCTGCTTGACCAAAGTGTTTGCTTGCTTGAGCCTCTGTTCATTTTGAACACTGCTTTGTGCGTTGTCTTGTTAATGAGCGTTCGACCTGATATTCTGCAGCCGCAGGCTTCATTTCCATGTATTAAAGAAAAAAGATTTGTGGCCGAGTGGATTACTGCTTCAGAAGAACAGGGTAGTGTGGGTTCTACCCCCCCCCCCCCCCAACTTCGCAGCTGGCATAAGCATTTTGTTTTCAGATTTGTGCTCGCCGGTACATGCGCCATGGTACCGGCGATGAACACACGGCTACGCTTGCACGGTGATTGACATTGACACGGAGCGACGGACACATGGCGATTATATACGCTGTAAAATGTACCCCCTAAAAAAACTACTGATAACCCCCCCCCCCCCCCCCCCCCCCCCGGGAAAATGGAAAGTCTACGCCGCTGTGCAGGGGTGTTAAGTAAGAAAAGGACAACAGAGGGGAACACCTCAATCGCAACGACCACTGCATTCGCCCTGTTTTGTTCGGCAACAAATTCAGTGGTTTGTTGCCGAACTACCTATGCCTGACTACCTGGCACAACTTCCGTTTCAAGCATGTTTCCTAATTTTTAGTCAGCATTCTTTGATCGTTAGAGTGAATTAGGTC